TTTTTTGGGTGGGGTGGGGAAGAGTAAGTTCCCATGGGTTAAGAAGAAAGAGTTGGGGAAGAGGAAAGGAGAGAGAAAGTTGAGGATATCATGTTGGTTGCTGATTTGTTAGACCGAAAGAGGCTCCTTCCCTAGCCAAACGGTCTGCCTCTAAATTTGCTTCTCTGAGAATATGTGAAAAGGAAACGTGCGGCAAAAGATTGCAAATGTAGAATATGTTATCAAAGATGGACAAAAGCCTCCAAGGAGGCAACTGCTCTTTTGTAGCCCATCTCACTATGTTACTGGAAACTGACCACCAAGATCCCAATAGCTTCATGTGCTACTTGAAGCACCTTTTTGAGTCCAACCAAGAGGGCCATGGTTTCCGCATAGGTAGAATCTTGGTATCCTATAAACTCTGAGAATTGTAGGATAGTTGGGGTATCTATAATTTTCCCTTTGAAAACTGATAAGTTGTTGCTAAAACATAAAAAGGTGAAGATGCACTGATCTTCACCGAGAAGATTCTCTGATCACTTTACTGTAATCGAAGGACTCCAAGGATACATCCATTGAGCCACATCTTTGATATTTTTTGTATCTGCATTTAAAATTAAACAATAAAAGTGGATTAAAAAAAATCAGTGTTTCATATCAAAATAAGGGAACCGAAAGTTTACGAAATGACAAGTAGGGAACAATTTCCATAGATCAACACTCTTAGTTCCATTGAAGTACTACGAACAAAAATAAATAAGAAAAGCATAGGGAAAGTAGACTTACCATGTTTAGCGTAGACCTATACAACTCCGATTGGGGGATGCGATTTGGTTCACATGGAAGGCTCTAAAAGGGTCAGGAGAAGGCCGAAAAGGAAATGGATAGAAGTAGTGAGAAATTATGTGACTTATGCTACTAAGAGTATGGCCCTTGTGAGAATAGAATGGTTGGACGAGATACGTGTAGCTGACGTCAAATAGTTGGGATAAGGCTTGAATGATGATAATATGAAAAGAAAAAAAAGAGAAAACTAATAATGTTTGTGTAAATAATGCACAAATCTGCAGATAAGCAAATGGAAAAGTATACCATGAGACCATTTATCTTTGGTATGAGGTGGTCACAATTCTTCTTTTGACCATTCATTTCCAAAACCTCTAAAAGACCCAAAAAATTTATCCTATTGTTTTTTACTTTAAAAATGTATAAATAAAAATTATTAAACCAATTGAACTTCTTTGGGGATTGAAAGATGGATTGTGCCCATAATATGCTTTGATACTCGAGAATTTTATTCAAAATCTAGCGTTTTTTTTTAATTCTTGTGGATAGTGTGCGCAATATGCCAAACACTCTCTCTCTCTCTCTCTCTCTCTCGCTCTGAGCCTAGCTTTTAAACCCAAAACCAACCCAAGTAGTAAAAATTACCAAAATACCCCCACATAATTGTCGAAAAGTCTTAAAGACTCACCTAAAAATGATCCAAAATCATTAAATTTTTTGAAACAGGGCCTCATTTGTTTTTTCTATTCACCATTAGGATTCGTCAGCTGCTTCAAGCTATTAACTGTGTATTGTCTGATTTGATGCTTCCCTGGGTTCAATACCCCCGAACCAACTATAGGGGCACCGTTTCATTGGTTTCCAACCCAAATCAGATGGTCCCATACAGTCTTAATTTCAGTAACAACGACACATAAAACTAAAGTTGGGGGAAATCATTGCTTGAAGAAGCTCCCTTGTTTGGGAGCAACATATGATAAATATTAAGTACCTAAATAACTAAAAATATGATGCACCTCAAAAAGGAAATCAAAAGATTTCGATGTAGTTCACTCTTTAAAACCCATATTTTGCTTTTTTGCATCATGTAGATCCAACAAATGAGCTCGCCTAAGGGCAAGAGGAGGTTCTTTGTTTGACAGCATTTGTGAAAATTCTCTAGAGAAGATAAGTAATGTGTTTCTCAGAGGATGGGAACATGCTGGGGATGTTGTATGCTCATAAACCATGAAACCATGCTCTAAGAGGAAGCACCACCTTAGATGGAATTTCTCTCAAACTACGTGGAGGTTTAGGACACTTAACCACGTATCCAATTAGAGTCTTTCGATTGGCACAGCAGTTAAAATGTGGAAGAGTCCTATGGTTTTTCTAGCCTATTAATTAAAAAAATAGCGAAATTAGCCTCCTAAATAAGCTTTTTCTTCAACTAGCGTCTTTGCCATCTACTTAACACTCTGCTCCCAAAGGCACCTAACTTCTAGTGGTGATGGAATTTATGTAATCGCGGTCATAATGGGTACACCTAAAATATTACCATTAAGTTACTGTATGAAATGCTGAGATAATGGCACCTAATCGAGTTATTGAGATGATATTGCTGTAGAAACAGGTGAACTGGATATATTTGATGCTTAACCTCATACTATCTCACACCTGTGACCTTGCAGAATTTATGAGCGCCCAAATGCAATGTCTGACTTAGTGTGGGAAGGACAAGAGAGGGTGGAAATTGCTTCCTCCGCTGCTCAAATATTTGTTGAACACTACTCACTTGAGACCTTCACACACACAGGTTGAAGAGGTAATGTTACCTCTAATACATTTGTTTATGAAGATAACACAATGGTTTAGGGAGATAGTACATCTTTAGGCCTTTTATAAATGAAATCGTGTAAGACTGGGTCCAAAGGGATCCCTACAAGAACCTGATTGTGATTGTCTGACTCCTATCACACATTGTGGTGTTATGGTCAAGTTAACCGTTTCTCCAAAAAACTTGTGGTGTTATGGCCCTGTAGCTTCTCTTGGCAGAGACGTCATGGAATTTTGGGCAGAGCTATGCTGCCATCACCATTCATGATAGGGGATTATGTGGTCGTAACCGGGTTTTGTGGGTCCTATAGGAGCTCATCATCTCTGATTATTTCTTGCTCTTAAGGGTCAGTGCACAAACATGGTGTCGTGTGTCACCTCAACTGTTTGTTGAGAACTATGAAACAGTTGAGATGAACCGTTCCCAATTCTCAAGTAGGCCTTGACAGACTTGAGCAGGGGAACAGTTCATCTTAATAGTTCATTGCTGGGTGGTTGAGGTGCATGGTTAAGAAGCTACAAGTTTCCTTCAGTCCAAGCAGTGGTTTCCTCTTATGTTTGTACAGGTTACCGAAAAGCTGAATGCGGATTATCCATTATTGGAGCTGGCTCTTGAAACGTGCTTCCCCCTTAAAAGTTCATATGATGGATGGGCAAGAGAAGCAAAACTTTTTGGGTTGACACTCAACATTTTAAGTCAAAGTAAGTATTCTCTCTCTCTCTCTCTCTGCCACTCACCTTACAAAGCATTGGGCGTATCCCTTTCTTTTGTCATGTATTGAAGAGATTCGTGCATGTGCAGCACACACACACACACCCTTTCTCTACAATTAGAGTTGAGCAGAGAAAACTGGTATACCCTCTGCTGCTCTTCAGTCCATTATTTGAGCAATTCTCTCTTTGCAACTTGCTTTTACACGCAAATGAATTGGCTAATGGGAGAAGGCAGTGGAATGTAGAGCTGGAAGCAATCATTGTCTGCTCTAGGTTCCACAGGCTTAGAGATACTTGTGATTGGACGCATACTGCACAGTATTCAAATTTTCTAACAGTGTTTCTTTCAACGGGTTTGAAGTTTTGTGAATGTTGTTTACTGCACAGAAAACCAAACATTCTCTGATGAATGGATCAACATTTTTATCTGGTTCTTGGGAAACAGTGAATCGTGTTACTCGTTGTGGGTGAGCTCTTTGATTCTATGTTCTGCACTTCCTTTTTTCAACTACTAGTTTTTCTTTGTCCACTTCTTCTCTCGTCATCTCACCCATTCATAAACAGGAAAAACTTTTTGAGGGGCACATTCATGAAAGTACATTTATTGTACAAAGGATATTGGAGAGATTGGAGGAAGAGAATTTTTGTGAGGCCGTTAGTCTTGAAAGACTCGAGGGGATTATGGAATTCAGGAGGATAAAGGTAGAAGAACTAAACGAACATTACATGCTTATAGGCCAGTCTTAGACCACGTGTTTATATTAATTTTCTATTTGTCTCTTTGCAGAACAAAGAATTTTTGGAGAGGACAAAGTCCTCTGGCTTTGAAGCTTCGATTTTGGCTGTAGAGGAGCCCTGCTAGATAATTAATGGAATTCATCGGAGCTGCGGTAACTAAATCTGGGTTTGCTTGTGGGTTTGACATTTTATATAGTGACCATGTTACTGTATTTTAAAATGTATACTGACTGGAAGGTTTGGTGTTGGAGATTGTAAAGACGAGTTGGATCGGGACTCAGCATGGTCCCAATCGTAGTCCTTTTTGACTCAGCTGAGTCTCAATAGAAACAGCGAGAGTCACTATTTTCAGGTTGATCCTGCAGGGCTCCATGTCTCGAGTAGAAATACAGAGTTCTCGAATTGTGCCTGTTTATATTTTCGGTTGTCTTGTTCATTCGGGCCCTATGGTGAGACAACTCAGGTGGGTTTCGAGGAGAATGACAGACTTTTCAAACAGCAACTGATCTCTAGGTCTGGACATCTAGGTTATTCTGGGAGCATGAGCTATTGATACGCTCGGTTGGATTGTTGATCTCTCGTTTGTGCAGTTATGTTTTGAACCCTTGGCAACGCAACGGGTTTGGTTGAGGGGTTGAACTAAGGTTTAAAAAAACGGACCAGTGACCCGAATCGTCTACATCAGTACCCATGTTGTATCAGTGGATTGGATCGCAGAATCGGCCAAATAGGCAAATTGTCTCAATTTTTTTAAAAAAACTCATTATATATCTTTAAAAATAGTATTTTTTTAGTTTCTAAAAAAAAATAGTAGTGATGTAATATGTATTTTTATTATTTTGTAAAAATAGGTAAATATTGAGACCTTGTTTTTATGTATGGATATTTGTATAATTATTAATTATGATGTAGTTATAAAATTATGTCAAAATAATTTAAAATATTAGAAAATTTTTTCATATTATATAAAAGGAAGGGTATGTAACTCTTCCATGTTATATGATTTAAGAAAACAACCAAACTATTATAATATTACACATTAAAATTAGAAGTATATTTTATAATCATTTTACAATACAAATAAGAATAAATTTAAAATTTGTCTTGTAATATCATCTTATCTAAAAATATAATTTACAAGTATAACAAAAAATAATATATTGTATAATATATAATGTAAATAAATTAACGAATAAAATATAAGATTCGGTTATCGTTGTAATTAGTATAATTATTAATTATAATATTATAATAAACTTTGACAATCACAAATAAATAAATCTAATGTGTAATAATGAGTCTGGATAAAAATATAGAATTTAAAAACATGAATTTGTGATCATATTTTAATAAAATTAGAAAAATAAATAAATTTAAATATGGGATAATTGATAAAACAATTGGAAAATAGATTATAATGTGATATGAGTTAGTCTTATTTTTTTCTCTTCAAGTATCCCATAATTTCTATATTTATCGTTTAATTTATTTACGTGTCATATGGTAACAAATTTAGTGAGTGTACCATATGCCAATAAATTTAAGTAGCGTACACGAATTTAATTGTCCATCTAATTAAGAAATTAATTACATGTTATTTAATTAATTTGTGTGCGCTTTAAATTTTTAATTACGTGTCATTTAATTAGTTTGTGCACACACCCTTTTTTTTTTTTGGTTTTTATTTTTTGGGTACATAGGTGTTTTGTTGTTTAAGAAAGGGATAACGGTTTGAAAGGACTGCAGCCCAATCTAAATAAGTAAAACCACGCCTCATAACTCATCAGAAATTACAATTCAAGTATTGAAAAATCTTTATATCGATCATCTTGGCTTGAACATTTTGGTTGTAGAAAAAAATTTAAGATTTCAAGTTTTAAAAATAGTGTATATTGTTAAAAACAATCGAGACTGTCTATTTCTCCTTAAAAATAATTGTTGATAGATCTATAAGATATTTGCCATTTTTTGAGTTTCAAATTTTATTGTCGGTATTGGAAATTGATTTTAGAGTCATCATGAAGATTTTCATTGCCAAATGTGCTTTCTGGATGAGGATTTGAGGTGAGGCTTTATTTTGTTTTCATAAAGCCTAGGCTTTATAGAAACCTCAACCGAGAGGGAAGGTAAGCAGGATTTTTTTAATATTATTTTTAAATCATCTTTGATTCATCTTATTGATTATTATTATTTGTTGAGAAGGGCACGGTCTACATAAAGTGTGAATTTTAATCAATCAAAATAAGGCGTACCTCCTAGCCCTATCAAAAGATGCAATTTTGGTGTCGCAAATCCTACAATGGCCTGAAAATCTATCTTTAGTTCTAATTATGAATTTTAAATTACAAAAATACTGCAGATAAATAAAAATCTTGAAAATGGATGGTCCAAATAACATGTTATAGGATGCACCATTTCAGAACTTGAATCTTTTTCTTTTTTACCCCCCATATCTAATCATCTTGAGGTTGTGATGATCAAATGGAATATTTCCTAGTATTGGAGCACCATTTTCTTCTGGATGTTTTAGGTACGCCTAACTTAATATATGATTGATACTTTTATAAACGTGTTCCTTGTGAAGAAAAGGCTTTTGTTGTTTGAAAATACTAGATCTAGTTGTCCTGCAAATGCACAATCTAGACTTAGTTTATGATGGTAGATTGGATTGACTTAGTTTATGATGGTCGATCGGATTGACTTGCAGAAGTTTTGAAGCTCTAAGTCAATTTTCTTTAAAAAATAAAAACTTTCTCTATAGTAAGTTTCAATAAAAGTTTATGGTCTTGTCCAAAAAAAATCTTTATAGTGGCTTTATACGAATGATTTGGGAGATTTGGCATCAGATAATCGCTAAACGTAGTTTTCTTTATCAGTAGCATACATGTACATTTTGGTACCACGAGACTACACAATCTCTTCCTCTCCTCTCAGTAAGGCCTAAGCAAAGAAATTGGAAAGCATGATTTTGTGGGGTAATAGTGATAACAAGAAATGTTACAATTTGGTTAAATGGGAAAAAGTGTGCACGCCTACTGTGAATAGTGGGATGGGGGATGGGGGTTAGAAGCTAAAAATCATGGCTTCGTTAACAAAATGGTGGAAGAGGTGCGTAAATGAAAAGAATCGACTTTGGAGGTAGGCGATTGGCTTAGTAGGCTCTCACCAACAACAAAAGGAGGGTGGATTGTACGGCTTATGGGGAACGTGCCGAGAAGGATAGGGATAGCGATACGGCGGTTAAGTCAAATGGAACATCAAAAGTTTGTCCGTATGCTCTGCCGCCCTCCCCGACAACAAGAAAGAGCCCTTCCTTCCTAAGGGAAGATTCTTGAAGGCGACCCTCGGCTCATGTTACAATTTAGTGGAATCCATCATCTTACCGTATGAAGAAGTTTCGGTTTCGTCTGAGACAAGGATTGAACAATTTCATCCATTGAGGCGTCAGTCTCAGCCGACACCACAACATAGGCTTCAAGATCAATAGTTTCAGCTGCCGAGAGCTTTGACGTTGCTTGCCCTCCTAGCTTTTGGGCTCGTTGCACACTAGAGGATCTAATAAAAAAGGTATCTCTATGAAAAGGTATTGTGGCATATCGAAGCTTTTTCCTAAGCTATTCTAGAACAATGGTTGGAAATGGTGAAGTGTGTGGTTCTGGCAGCAGATATGGGTACGTGATTATCCCTTCAAAACCAAATTTCCTCATCTTTTTGTTAAGGTAAATACAAAAGGTAAGTTGATGTGTGAAATGGTTGAAGGTCATGGATTCATTACAACTTGGGATGTTCGATGTCCTTATAGAAAGGTAGATGATGCTGTTGCATATGAACATATTCAATGTATTCAGCTATTACAACAATACTTCTACTGGTCAGAAATAGATAATAAAGTGGTGTGGGAACCATGTAAAAAAGGAGAATTCTCTATAAACTCTGCTTACAAGTTGTTATTTAGAAGCTGCAAAATTATGGGTTTGGACTATTCTTTTAAAGGTATATGGTTTCTTATGGTTGATGAAGCTAAAAAATGTCATTAACAATTGATATTGTTAAGATTCGTGAGAGCATACATGCATAAACATGAATGGGGAGAGAAAAAGAGAGAACACATTATTTACGTAGTTCAGGCCGAAGCCTTATGTTCACGGATCCAGAGCCCCAACGGGCTACATTTTTACTGATTTTGGATGAATGTTTAAGTACTTCTATATATAGAGGACCATAACACAATTACATGAGACAAATATGATACGATTCTTGGAGATAGAGGTAAATAGTAAGAGGCATTATCACCAAACTAACTTGATAACAAAGTAACTTTGACTTGGTATCTTCTTATCTTCAACACTCCCCCTCAAGTTGGTGTACAGAGATATGAAGCGAAGTGGCCAACTTGCCAAACTGAAACTGGAACTGGAGTCTTGAAACCAAAAAGTTGCCAAAAAAACTTGCACTTCTCTCACTAGTGTGCTTGAATAGTCTGAAAAGAGCTAAGAAATGTGATCTGGGACATGTGATCACCAAACTTGGTCTAAAGACCACTAAACGTGCTAAAAAGGCACAACAAAGACGGTTATGCGATAATAAAGTGGCAACGAACACTAAAGATTCGTGAAAATTTTTTCTTGAAAAATCCGTTAATCATGAACATGCTCCCCCTGACGATATCACTATAAAAATAGTGTGACGAAGTCCTCTACACATGGCGAGGTGTTAGGAGCAAATAGCGCACGAGACAACTAAAAAATATACGAATACCGGCAAGAACTGATGTTCTTGTCCATATAGTTGTTACATTAGAGATGTTGACTTTATCTCTGCTCATCTCATCTTCATATCTCCTATACTCTCCCCCTTAAGTTGGTGTGGATGCAAAGAAACACCCAACTTGCAAAATACAATTTTTTTTTTTGTGAACAATGATATCAAAAAAATGCCAATGAAATTGGGCTTCTAGACAGTAGCCCACATCTTAAAAAAAAAGTACCACTCATTTTTCTTTTATTTTCCACTTCTTCATTTCTTGTTTTTTTTTTTTTCGCAGCTCTAAGGCCGAAAGTGTTGTTTTTTTTTTTGGGACTCCTTATTGCCAAAGGGCTAAAGGAGCTTTTAGAGAGAGAAGGGAGAAAGTAGAAGGGATGATTCCTCCCGCCTGGTTCTAGATAGAGAAGAAACGATAACATCTACCCTTGTAGAGAGAGAGAAAGAAAGTTGAAGGGGATTATTTCTCCTGCCTGGTTTTAGAGAGAGAAAGAAGGGTAATCTCTACGATTCTAGAGAGAGAAAGAGGGGATGGATCTCTTTGAAGAAAGAGTTGGAGCGCAAGCAGCAGAGCCTAAACTCAGACTTTGGTGTCCACAAATTTACTAAGTGAGCAGAGATC